GTGAGAGTGTGTGTTAGGGTGCACACACCACATGATGGACTGCAGAAGGAATCTGGTTTTTACAGGAACAGATTTAGCTAGCCCAAAAATACAAACATGGAAGTACATGTTCCAGTTTGAATACATACACGGTATTTCAAAAGAAAATCAAACTAGCAGCTAATCTAGTAAGACACACGCTGTTAGAATTAAGGTATTCATACTCTTGGGGCTGTTATTCCAGAATACAGAGTAGTTAGTATTTTGATATTCTAATATGTTAGATTTATCCTAAGTAAACCTGTGCAAGTAGTTGAATATATTTAGCACTCATGGTCAAATCAGCAAACTTTTGACCTAAAGCTGAGTACTAGAACAATTTGGACTGGACTTTTGGAGGTTGTATAGTCCAGACCTCCTCAAAACACACGCAGGTAGTTCAGGTTGCTGAGGGTCATGTCCAGTAGAGTTTTGAGTATCTTCAAGGATGCAAATTCCAAAACTTCTCCTGGCACCTTTTCTAGTGTTTCTGAAATTTGCGAGGGTTTCTTTTCCCCATTTTTTCCCTACTATGTGTCTGGCTTTTCTCTTGTTTTCACTTGGGTCTGTTGCCTCTTGTGCTGTCTCTGTACGTATCCATGAAGGGTCTTCCCGTGCATTGTGCAATTGGTGCAACAAGATCTCCCTTGAGCTTCCTCTTTTCCAGGCTGAACATTCCCAGCTGTCTCAGCCTCTCCTCACACGTCAAGTGCTTCAGCACCTCTGACCACCTTGGTGGCCTTCCCTGGGCTCACCCCAGTGTGTCCATGTCTCTTGTGCTGGGGAGGCCCAGCAGCGGCAGAGCACTCCAGATGTGGACTCTCAGATGTCAGATGGAAGGGGTCACTTCCCTCCGCCACTCCTGCTGCTCCAGCCCAGGATGCTGTTGGCCTCCTTTGCCACAAGGGCGCATTACTTACTCATGTTCAACTCGATGTCCACCGGCACACCAACGTCCTTTTCTGCAGAGCTGCTTTCTAGCCAGGGAGCCCAACTTCTACTACTGCGCCAGGCCCTATATGAAAAGAGAGATTGCAGCTCATTTTAAAGAATGAGTGCTGAGGTTATCCTTAACAACTAGTAATGCACTATGTATTAATACCTTGCTGTTTTAATGACAAGCAATGGTATCAACATGTAAGCAGATGCAAATTTTCCTGAGTAACAACAACATCTGATAAAGGAGGTCAATTTTTCTAAATACTGATCCATTAAGCTGAAATTTTTGAGGTGGCTGTTTCCCTTTTCTTTCCCATGCTTGTTTGTTCATTTGTTTCAGCTCTTTAGTGTCAGTTTTGTCCCTGACACTATCAAAGGAGTTCTTGGAAGTTACTGTCCTCTCTTGGGAAGATCTGGTTGCCCTATTTCTGAAATGAGAATTTGAAATGGGGAAAGACCTCTGTGGTGGCACTGCATTTGAGCCTGCCATTTTCCTCACGTAAAACTCCTAAAATTTTGCCAAATTGTGAGTTTCTCAAAGTAGCAGTTTGCAAATGTCCTAATTACTGTGTTCCTTGAACTAAAGGTGCTCAAGAAAGCTGAAACCTAAACATTTTCTTAATCCTCACAGATCTCTTTGGCTAAATATTGCAAATGCTAACCCACAGAGTAATTGAGCATGCTCTGGCACAAAGCTGAATAGGTGTCCTCTGCAATTTGTGGTGTTTGTGGCCTTAATATGATGCTGAAATACAGGAAGAAAGTCATTCGCTTCCTGCCCTCCATCCTATCCGGGAGATGTATGTAGATAAGGAAAAGCACCTTGAAAATGTGAGGGTGAAATGGGAAGCTGGCTAGGTGGTGCACTTTAGAAACAGAGAGAAAATGACAGAACTTGGGGAGAATGAAAGATGTCCAAAAGTCCTGGATTTTGCAGGACTCTGAAGTCACGCTTGAAGAGGTGGCATCCATTTGTTAGGAGCTATTACCCTGGTGGGTACAGGTCCTCAATGCAGAGTTAAATATCCTACCTTGAATGTAAGTTTTGTTATGTAGTTTCAAATAATGTAGCTTTTAGAGCTAAACACTTAGAAACTGGGAAACTCCAGGCTGAAGATTCTCAGTGCAACTGTAATTTGATTCTTATATTCACATTTAGGACTGGATTCTAGTGGATCACGGAGGTCGTGGGTGATGCTGTACACATCACTGGAGTCAAGCTTCTCACACGTGGCCTCAATCCATGTGTTCATTCACTGATGTCCAGCTTTTTACTTCACAATCTTACTCAGCAAAGTGCCCGACGCTTGCAGCAGTGACCAAAGTCAGAAGGAGCTGACTTTTGAACATACCAGGTACGAAAACCTGTGCTTTAGATGTCTCAAGTGGGCATCATCACTCTCAAGAGTGATAATGTTGTCCTTAATCACTCTGCGCTGAAACCTGCGGATAGGTCTCTTAGGTTTGCCCTCCCCCAAAGATTGTTATGAGCTTATGAAGCTTTCCAGAGATTTCACGGGAGAAATCCCTGAGGAAATGAACAGTAGTAACATAGTAAGTGAGATTATCCCTTTACGTTGTACTTTTATTCAGCACACACAGACTGTAGGCAGAGACGTGGTGGAAGTGATAGGGCATAGGCCAGTGTTTAACTGCATGATCTTCCTGTGTGTAGGCAACAACGTGGTGCAATCTGAGGGCACACTTGGCAGCTCCTTACTCTTCTTCTAATGCTTGACTTTTTAACCTTTCATGTTGTACTAAAAGAAAAAGCATTATTTTTATAGAGATGCTACAGATTTAGTCTACATATGAACTTACTACAGCATTAGTATTTTCATGTTGTGAATTGCCATATATTTCCTTCTTCCTTTTTTTTTTTTTTTTTTTTTTTAATCTAACACCTTATAATAGTTATGAGGGAGAAAGACAAGTCGCAAGTTATACTTTTGAGGGTAGGAGGAAGGAAGGATAGACCTATTCCTACAAAATTTTGAGTTTATTACGCAGCAGATCTTAGTGTGTTTTTTTTCTGTTTGTGTTTTCTCTGTCAAGCACAAACAATAAAATATAATTATTGTTGAGCCAGCTGTCAGTCTGCTTTCTGTGGAAGGCTGATGAAATCTAGTTTTTCTCAAGTTCAAGGAACAGTAAGCACAAAGGCAACACAGCCCTGCACACATGAGTTAGTTTACACAAATGGCACCTTGCTGCTGTGGACTGTCATTTCAAAGTCATAAAAGACATTGTGTGCTGTGTCCAAATGTAGATGCTAAACACAAAAAGAATAAATTGCTGAACACAGCACATGGCAGTTCAAGGATGAGGCTAGAAGCAGAAGGATTGGCAACTCTAGGGAAACCAGTAAGAGTCATGAATGCAGTCACATGAGCAATGTGAGTTGAATCCATGTGGCTTATGTTTTAAATTCAGTTATCTTACATGTGTGGATTCCTGAATGAAGGGTATTCTGTCAGGATATTAATGGACTTCATTGATTTTACATTGCTTGTAAAAGAAATGGTTTAAGTTGAAATTCACTTTTTTGCTTTAATGTAAATGTGATCTTAATCTGGATGCTTCTCAAGACCAGTATATACCCCACAATGACCTATATGAGCCCAGGGGCCTGTATCTGTGATGGAATCTTCCCCATCTCCTCCCTAACGTGCTTAACACATTAAACAATCCCATGAAACCGATTATAGACTTTCAGTTTTAATTCACATTAGATCTAGGCCTATTCTCCTGGGCATGTAGACATGTGACTTTTCTTAACCTGGGAATAACTGATGATCGGATGAAGGGATGTGTCGTTCATGGTGGATAGCATGTTTGTAAGTGCTGTGAAGATACTTTAAATCCTGGAAAACCAAAAATGAATCCTCCAGACACAGAGATCTAGAGATGTCCTGTTTGGTGCTGTTTCTCTTAACATTGTTCTCTTTCTTACTAATTTAAATGGGTCATGGGAGGTACAGCATTTGTGATGGGAAGTTTTCAGCTTTCTGCTTGCTGTAATAGTGCAGACTTCTTGGAGAAACTTTCCGATTTCACTTTCTGCAAAGACTGTAGAGTTTCAAGTAAACAACATGCATAAAGGAGACATATGCATTGTTAGCACGTAACTGGTCTGTACGGATTACTCATTCTGTGGCTTTTTAGTGAAATTTGTAAAGTACATCTGAGGCAAACACAGAAAACAGATCCTGATCTGTATCAACGGTGTTAATTTATTCCTTCAGTAGGATATTTCCGTCATACAAAAAATAAGGGTTGGGTGGATGGTTTTACTTACAAAGTGCTGCCAGCACTGTGTTGTTTTGTTTGATGCCCGGTACCCTGTGGTCAATGGTTGCATCTGGAGACCCTAAATGCGCCTTTCCTTTCTCTCTCTTTTTTTTTTAATCCTATCTTGATACTTTCCACACCATTTCTCAAAACTTTTCTTTCCCAATGGTACCAGTAAATGCCATTTGTGGTTCTGAGAGGCTTCCTAGTCTTTCCTCAGGAAAAGCAAACTTAGAATGACAGGACCTGTGACATTTGGGGCAGTTGATACAATGAAGGGTCAAGATCTAGAGCAGATTTCTCTAGTGAGCAGCAGTGGGAAACATTCACTTAATAACACATCTATACATACTGGTAGCTGAAGGCTTTCTATCATTTGCTCAAGAGTTAGTTTGTTTTCCTCCAAGTGAGATACTGGCATTTGGGGGACTGTTCTTTTGGATTTGTCTTCAGGATTTGTTGTCTTATCTCTTGAACTATTTTGGATTCTAAGTTTTGTAGTTTCTAGAAGAGTGTTCTAGCACCAGTGTTTTGGATCTGAGATCCATCATTGTAAAAAATACAGTGAACAAATTAAAAATTGGTATTTTGGGTTACCTTTGATGTAGTTATGTTATCTATGATTCTTATGGGTCCCTTCCAGCTCAAAATATTCTATGATGTAGTTACTAGTTATGAACTTCCAACACCTGCAAACCAATATTTTATTTACTTTAAACTTCTTTCCTTCTGTTCCTCTATTTACAGGCAGGATGAAAGACCGGCTAACCGAGCTGCATGAATTAGCCAGATTACACAACCAACAGTTTATTGAAAGTGAGGATGATGAAAATCCACCCCACGATGTTCTGTTTTATGAGACTGATTATGCCTTGGAAGTTCTTCATAATGACATACAGAACATCCGTACAGAAAATCACTACCTAAAAGAGGATGTCAAGCGGCTCAGAAAGCAAAACAACCGCTTCCTTACTTCCATGCGCCGTATTAGTAGCATCAAACGAGATACTAATTGTATTGCGAGAGACATCAAGGCCCGCGGGGAAAGTATCCACAGGAAACTCCAGATAATGAGAGATTTCTGCGAAGATGCAGTAACAAAATATGGGCCCATGTCTGTTATTGCCAGGGTAGCGAAGAACCACTACGTTGACCTCATGCACTCATTTCAGAAAGCCATGTTTGAATACAATGCAGCAGAGATGAACCAACGAGAGAACTGCAAGATTCGAATTCAGCGGCAGCTAGAGATCATGGGCAAAGATGTTTCTGGCAACCAGATTGAGGAGATGATTGAGCAAGGCAAGTGGGATGTCTTCTCTGAGAATCTCTTGTCAGAAGTTAAGGGAGCTCGTTCAGCCTTGAATGAGATAGAAACACGTCATAAAGAGCTTGTGAAGTTAGAAGGTCGCATCAAGGAAGTTCATGAGCTGTTTCTGCAGGTGGCCCTACTAGTGGAGGAACAGGCAGACACCTTCGATGTCATTGAGATAAATATGCAAAATGTTGAGGACTATGTAGGAGAAGCTAAAGAGCAAGTGAAAAAAGCTTTGGAATACAGAAGAAAACACCCCCTCAGAACAATCCTCTGCTGCTGCTTATCCTGTTGCAGAAGACGACTGTCCCACTGAAGCTATCACATACTGACTTGAATATCTTCAAAATCAGGCATTCATTCTAGTGACTTTTTTCTAATGACAACCCTTAGAAATGAGGGACTATTTTGCAGTTGATTTTGTTCATCATTTTTTTCCTAAATGTGCTGAAGGCTGTTCTATTTGAGGCCTCCTAGAAATGTTGATAAAACTGGTTTTAATCTGCTTTTAATTGAAATGTACTCTGTTGCTGTAACTAGAGGTGCAAGAAGATCTCTGCAGTGATACTTGTTTCAGATAGGCAAGAAACAGGAATGAATGATGGGCTGATAACTCAGCCTAGGGAAGATGAGAAATTTCAAGAAGTAACTTTATTCTTATTTGTCCAAGTGACTCTGCAGGTGGTGCAGCCTTACCGCCTGGGGAGACACAATACACCACAGAATCAGGTTTCAGTTTTAAGTAGTTTGGAGGCTGCCTAATGCAAATACTTGAACAGATTTTTGCTCTGTTCATTTGAGAATATACCAAGCCCGTTAGCAGGAGCAGGACATAAAACTAGTTACTATTTCAACTTGATTTCCAGCTGTCACAAATCTTAACAGAAGTAACTGCACCTTAAATGATAGTATGCATGTTTTGCTCTGTTTGTGTGCAAGTGATTGCTTTTCTCGATTTTGAGTATCCACAACTTTGTCAAAGTGGCTAGAAACACTGCAAGACTGAGGCATCTCACTGGCTTTCAACTTGAGCCACTGTTTGTACTCTCAGTTTCAAAACTGCCATGCTTTTATGCTTCTAATACATTCTTCTGCCAATAAACACTTCTGCCAGAAGAGAGGCATGCAGTGGCCTTCTGCAGCAGCACACACGAGAAGACAACTGTTGGGGAATCGAGAAAGCATTTTAGGGTTTCCTGTGTTGGCACATACACACAAGCAATTTTAGTGGAAGGATTATCCTGTCAACAGACTTCTATTTTTTTACAAGAATTAACGTAGATTTTTTTATATCTATTTTTAATAATATGAAGGATTAAATTTATTAACATGCAATTTTACTGTACAAAAACTGTGACTTTTCTCCCATTGTTAGGAAATCTCCACCTGGGAAAGAAAGTAGACATATTTCTTCCAAACACCCGAAGAAGACAGAAAACAACATTTTAACGTCATTTCAGTGCTCTTTTCAAACTTGAAAGTAATCTTTCCTTTTGTGTAAAGGGACTCTGTCCACACTAAGTTTGGAATATGAGGAGGGAATACAAAATTTGCAGCCCTGGAAACCACTGAGAGTTGTCAGTGAAACATGTATTCATAAAGTCTGGTGAGTGATTATAGCTCCTACTTCTGGAGGTTTTCCAACTATTTTATTTCTAGGTGGCTTCCTGATACACTGTGATCTATTGCTGTCCTTTCAATTAATGCAGGACTTTTTTTTTCAGAAGTTAGTGATATTTTTTTAAACTGCTGATCCTATTTGTGCCTATTTTAATAAATATATTTAAACATTTCAAATATTTTGTATTTGGGAGTTTTCCTCGGGAGATGTGCATAGCCATCTCCCTGCACCAATCACAATGAAACTTTTCTCTTCTGGTCTTTTGAACACTAATTTTATATGTGAAAAAACACCCAAGCATTTCATACTGTTTATATTGGCATAACAAAGCAGCAAAATAAATTCAACTTCCATGCTTTCATACCCTAGTGGGAAATGCTTCTTAGCCAGATGGGATTTTTTACACAAATTAAGAACTCTTCTCAGGAATTGAAAGTTTTTTTTTGCTGAGGTACCTGTCTGTGGTAACATGGAAGAGTGAGGAATGCCAATCTTCTAAACTAGAAGATATTTTGATAACCAGTGATGTCCTGATGATATCAGTATTGTGCTTGCCTGAGGACCTCTCCAACAACCCCATGTTCAAACTTGAAGTGGGAGAAAGGAGGTTGTTGAGCTGGCACCATTACCAGTAGCTTTGGTGCTACTCAAGAAGACAAAGTCATTTACGCTGTAGGTATCGCCATTCAAGTCAATGGAACTGTGCATTTGTACAGAAATACCCTAAACCTCCAAGGGTCAGCATGTGGGCATGCATCAGTGAAGAATGAAATATGTATTTCATTTTGTCTACATGTTCTTAGCACTCACCAATGCTTTTGATAAAAATGTGTACATATATTTTTTGGTTGGTTTCTTTTTTGCACATATGTATGTCTACACATGGAATAAAAGATTTAATAAGAAAATCTGAAAGTGCAGACTGTTGTACGTTGAATCAGCACCTCAGCAGTTTCTTGCATTGTGAAAGTTTAGCTTAAAAGCTGCTGGACTGATCTCTTGAGTTGGTGAAAGGAGATTAAGCAATGCCTAAAAAAAGCCCTCCCAATATTTGTTGCCACAATAAATCAAACGTGTTGCATATTGAGATAGACTTACCATAATTTTTCCTATAAAATGAGTTTCATACATTCTAGAATGATTCTTTACTGCAAGAAAAAATAAAATTTATTCTGGCAGTTCTGAGAGATCTTGATGATTTCATTAGTAGATATGCAAAGCTTACATTCAAATCTTTACTCTTATTTGAGGCACAGGGAAAG